ATAATATTTAATACAACTAAAATTTTTAAAATTTAAAAATATTTTTTACCAACTATACCAAAAATAATTGGTAAGGTTCTTTTTCCCCTACTCCGTGTCAGTATTGCATTGAACTGTACTTAACCGGAAGAAGGAGATCATTACAATTTTTGATATGACATTTCGATTGTTTTATAGCCACAAATCCTTATCCAACATTTCTTGCAATTCGTGTTCAATTTCTCTACAGCATTTCTTCTCTCTGGGGAGGAAATAATTGTAATTTTCTTTTTAATTAAAAATAGAAGTTCATTTAAAAAAAGTTACCATATAAACTAGCTCGAATAGAGTAATAAACATGAGGAATTAGTATCGCTTTTTAATTTATGATAAAACTGAAAATAGGACAATGGTAAGGGGGAAAGACAAACTTTGTTTGTGCATAAGTAGTTAAAACTCCAAACATTACACAACACTTTAAAAACACGCTCTTTGGCCATCTCAAATGTCCTATCTTCACGGATCAAGGGAAATTTGAGAACGTTAAGCCTCAAAATGTTTAACATTATTGTTTATAACATTTTGAAGATTATTATTGTAGCAGGTATAGCCATAGCAAAGGTCTGTAAAACGACTGATCAAATTATTGACATAAAGACACATCTTCACTAATATGATTAGGATTTAAATCAATGTTTTGAAAGTCGGACTAGATCGATCGGTTGGACCAATTGAATCGGTATCCAATGATATAAATGGTTCGGTTGTCTCTTTTAAACCCTTTGAATTGTAAACCATTTTAAATTGGTAAGAACGATTGAAATCGTTCAAACCGATAAACCATTTGACCAAATGGTTTAATGCTTGGGCGTAAAATCTTCAAAAATTTGTCTTCACGAGACTTGAACTCACAACCCCGAAACCTTAATTTTAACTCTTTACCATTGAGACGATGCAATTCTTGTGTCATTGAATATTTGAAATTTTATTTATCTAATAGAATTATCAAAACTTTTAATTAAATTATTAATGACAGCCATAAGATTCGAACACCTATTCTCCATGATATGAAACATATTTTTTTGTTTTACAATATATTTATTCTATTTTTAAAATCACAATTATATTAAAATTTATTCTCACAAAAACTCGAAAATGTAATCTTTCAA